CATCTGAAAAGCAGAAATCTCTCCTGCCCTGCAGCCGTGCGGCTCTGGGAGGGCTGTGCAGGAAGGAGGAGCTGGCCCAGCCCTCGGAGCCAGCAGGAATTGCACCTCGTGCTCCTCCGTGGGTTTGGGACGCTGCCTGTGCCAGATCCAGCGGCACGGCCGGGCGAGGCGCTGAGGGATGCAGGAGATTTCCCAGCCCTGCCAAGCCGGGATGCTGCAGTTGCCATGGCAACGAGGGAGGCCTGCGAGCTGGAGCCCACGGCCCAAACCTTTGGGGGCGTTCAGGGCTGGGGGTGCTCTGAGCCCTGGCAGCTCCCCGCGCCCAAAACTGCCCTCAGCACCCTGCTGCCAAAGCTGGCACCCCAGGCATGCCTCAGCCGAAAGAGCCCGCTGGAAACCCTGCCTGTTCCGTGGGGAAACACCCTCTGAAAACCCTGCCTGTTCTGTGGGGAAAACAGGGAAAACACCCTCTGAAAACCCTGCTTGTTCCATCGGGAAAACGGGGAAAACACCCTTGAAAACCCCGCCTGTTCCATGGGGAAAACAGGGAAAACACCCACTGAAAACCCTGCCCTGTTCCATAGGGAAAACATGGAAAATACCCTCTGAAAACCCTGCCTGTTCCATGGGGGAAACAGGGAAAACACCCACTGAAAACCCTGCTTGTTCCATGGGGAAACACCCACTGAATACCCTGCCTGTTCCATGGGGAAAACCCTGCCTATTCCGTGGGGAAAACAGGGAAAACACCCTCGGAAAACTGTGCTTGTTCCATGGAGAAAACACCCTCTGAAAACCCTGCTTGTTCCATGGAGAAAACGGGGACAACACCCTTGAAAACCCTGCCTGTTCCACGGGGAAAACAGGGAAAATACCCACTGAAAACCCTGCCCTGTTCCATGGGGAAAACACCCACTGAAAACGTTGCCTGTTCCATGGGGAAAACCCTGCCTGTTCCGTGGGGAAAACCCTGCCTGTTCCGTGGGGAAAACGAGCCCCTTTGTGTGGGGAACGTGCCCACAGCCGCTGTGGGGAGGCAGCACTGTCCCGGAGATGCCGGCAGAGATTCCCGCAGCATTTTTCCTGCTGTCCCCGGCCCCGAGCCGAGACCCCGGGGGCCGAGGCTGGAGCAAGGGCAGGGAGCCCCGGCAGGGCCCGGCCAGCGGCTGTTCCCGAGGGATGCTCCAGGGCCCTTCCAGCAGGCAGGGCCGGGCTGGGACAGCCAGCTCTGCTCTGCTCTGCCCTCCCAAAGGCGGCTGGCTCGGCACACAAGGTCACCTCTCCCTCCCAGCCTGCTGACCTTGCCAGGCAGCACAGGCTGCGTTTTTCCCCACCTCGGGACGGTTTTTGCTGTCTGTCTCCGGCAGCTCATTCCTGCTGGGGCCGTCGGCCGCTGCCAGGCCTTGACTGACATGTGTCCATCATCCCTGGCAGCTGGAACTGCGGACAGCAGCGGGTCCCCGCGGGAAGGACGGGCAGGGACGAGCCCGAGCTGCGTCCCCTCCGTGGGCAGTCAGCTGTCACCAGAGAGAGCATCGGGCTGCCCCCGTGCCCACTCCCTTCCTGCCGCATTCCCGCATTCCCGCATTCCTGCCCGGTTCCGCCGGGGCACCGGGTGGCACATGAGTCACACTTCCTCCCCACGCCCGTTCCAGCGCGGTGCCACGGCTATTTTTGGAAGTTTTGGAAAGCGGATCAGCCCGCTGAAGGACGCTCGTGGATGCTCCCCACGCGGGGCCGGCGTCCCCCGTGTCCCCGAGCGGCGCTGGGGAAGCCTCGGCAGCCCGGACCCCGCGCTCCGCTCCCCGCTCGGCTGCGTGGGAACTCCCTCCTCGTCCCACGGCCCCTCCTGAGTCAGCAGCGAGCTGCAGCACCATCCTAGTGGCGAAATATTACCTTTTAAAGGGCTTGTTTGCGATTGGGGTGGGACTTCGCGCGATGCCAGCTTGGCGTTGATCGCTGCGCTCCCAACGAGCGAGCGGATCATCCCCGGTTATTTTTACTCCCAACCCCCAATGTTTTAGCTGGGGCTGCAGTGCCTCACAAAGTGTCTGTGAGGAAAACCGGGCACAATCCAGCTCCGGAATCGAGGGCTGGATGAAATCCGAGGCGGGATCAGCAGCTGAGTGTCACAGCCGGGCCTTCCTGGCCTGCCCAGCTCGGACGGATCTGGTTTAACGGGATGCTGCACCCACACCCACACCATTGCACACCTGCCACCCCATCCCCTTCCCTCCGCTCCTCCAGGACCTGCCCGAATCGAGGATTATTCTCCTTTCAGGGCAGTGATTGTGCTGCTCATCCTTCCCTCGGGATCTGCCCAAGGTCAGCGGCCGGAGGGGACGCGGGGAGGTTGTGGCCCTGCCGCCCAGGTGACACCTCTGCCGCTCAGGTGACACCTCTGCCGTGCAGGTGCTGCCCTGGCAAACTTCAGCTCCGTTTTTTGTGCCTGGAGCTTTTGCCTGGAGCCAAGCAGCAGCTCCTGCCCCGCGGGCTCGCAGCATCCCGACCTTGCCGGGATAAAATTAGCCCCGCTTCCCTTTGGATTAAAGGCACCTCCGCTTCGGCTCCGAGACGTCAAATGGCAGCGATCCCTTTTTTGTCTGGATAGGGGAGGGGAGAGTCCTGCCAGCCAGCCTGGTGACAATGACATTGATTTCCTAGACCTCTCGGCGTGGCCAAATCTGTATTTTTAGCCGGGGAAGAGAAAAATACGAATCACGTGTCAGAGCAACGCTTTCCGTGCCCCGGTGGGAGGGAAGGAGCCGGGAGCCGCCGCTGCTGGGGCCGGGGACGGGCAGGACTCGGTGCCCGGTGCCCGGAGCGGGGCTGGGGATGCTCCGAGCATCCATGCCCGGCCCTGCCCCGCCATGCCCGGCACGGCTCTGCGCTCCTGCAGCGGGGTCCCCACTCCCCGAGGATCCCGCCCGTCCCCTCCGCATCCCCCGTGGCCCTTTATCTTCCGGGGCAGGCGCTGCCTTCATCTCTGCTTCCCTGCCACCGCCCCCTCCTCCTCCTCCTCCTCGCTCTCCCCCACCCTGCTCTCATTTCCCCAAGAAGACTTTAATGAAATCTGCCCTTAATTAAATCCACATTCATTTGCATAATTACCAGGAAATTGAAATTAGCCTGCGGACGTGGCTGGAATGCATTTGGCATCCGGCAGCCCGGGCTGTTCGGAGGGGGCTGCACCGAGGGCCGCTGGGTGCCCCCCACCCTTGGGTGCCCCCCACCCGTGGGTGCCTCCCACCCGTGGGTGCCCCCCACCCTTAGGTACCCACGGTGCTGCCCCACATCCCTGCCCTCCCTTCCCAGTGGTGACAGGGTGGAAGTGGAGGGACACTGCCACTGCCACTGCCCTGCCGTGCCCTCCGCCCCCACACAAGCAGCATCACGTTTCCTTCAGTTAGTAAAAAAAATAAAAGTCTTCACCGCCATTGAGAAATTTTTTGTTGCTTTTATAACTATGTATTTTGTCTTTTTTTTTTTTTTTATGGTTTCAGTTGTGGTTTTTTGAAATCCTTTTCGACAGTGACAAACTGAGGTAACGTCTGTGACACTACAGCCTCTCCTACGGGAAGAAGGTCCGAAACCCGACAGCTGAGGGAACTGGAAATAAAAACCTGACAACCTACGGACACAGCGACCTCGACGGGGACAGAAATCACACCGGGCACCCCCTGGGGCACAGCCGGGCGGTGCCACCGAGCCCTCCCGGGGCGGCCGGGATCCCTTATCTACATTATTGCACGAAAGATCGAGGACATCGAGGGACCTAAGGCAAAGAGGAGTAAAACCGGTGCCTAGCTCTCTACGTGGGGCAATGCTACGTCTAACGCCGGGCCCGGGGGTGCCGGGGACGGGGCACGGCGGGGGCGGGGGCGGCCCCTGCTCTGTAAACTGCGGCTGCTGCTGCTGCTGGAAAGCGTTATAGCCCTTTGTGGGGAATTGGGGCACCGGGGCCGCCCCACGGCACCCACCCCGTGCGAGGGAAGCCCGAACCACAGCAGGGTGCTCTTGCCTTGGGGTGCCCCCACAGCGGCGGTGGGGGGAGCTCCCCGCTCTGCTGGGTGCCCGAATCCGGGAGGGAAGGTGTGACCTCCACGCACAGCCCAGGACATTGTCACTGCGGGGCCACCGGTGGCTGCAGCCAGCCCCGGCAGGGCCTGTCCCGCTGTCCCCGCCAGCCCCAGGGGAGGTGACAGGGTGGGGAAGGGGTGACAGCGAGGACAGGTGATGGGGACAGCGGGGAGAAGCAGGCGGGCCCGCGGAGGCCGCTCGGAGCTCCCTGCCCCGCTCCCGGGCTGTGCAGCCTGGGGGCACCGCTGCCACCTGCCCCGCTCCCTGGGTACAAAGGGGCTGCACAGGGGACAGCGGGGACAGCGGCACGGCAGAGCCAGCCCGGCCCGAGCATCCACCCTGCGGCACGGCCGGCACCGGCCCGGGGCAGGGGCTGCCATGGCGGCGGCTGGGACACACAACGACACACAGACAGGGACACTTGCTACATCAATGGCTGCCAGCACCTCCCGCGGCAGGGAGGCAGCCGGGGCCGCCGGGGCTCGGGGGCTGCTGGCGACCCCCGGCTCCCCGTCACCGCCTCCCCGCGCCCTCCCGGTCCCACAGCGCGGCAGGGACCGGCGGAAAAGGGCAAATCACCACCCACCCAACCCCCAAAGGCCTCCTCCACCGAGCAGGGTCATCGGCCTTCCCGCTCCGGGCGGGGTGAGCAGGGCTGGGGCAGAGCCCGTGCATCACCCGCTGCCCCCGACTCTTCGTCCCCGCCCTGGGAGACCCCTCCCCGTGCCCCGGGGAGCCTCGGAGGGGCAGCACAGCCGTGCCAGGGCTGTGGGTGCCCCCGGCCTCCCCAGCAGCGAGCGGTGCCCTCGGCTGCGCTCCGGCCGCGGGCCTCGCCCAGGCGGGGCGGGGGGATCGGCATCCTCGGCGCTACGGAGCGCAACCAGTTCTGTCCTTTTCCTCTTCCATCGCGTTGCTTTTCCTTCTTTTGTTTTTTCCTTTGGGAAACCCAGAGCCCGGTCCCGGCTCGTGCCGCCACCACGGCGCGCTCCCCCATCGCTGTCCCCGGGGCGGGGGACGGGCGGGTCGCGCCGCCGTCACACGCAGATCTCTATTGCTGTGGCCAGGACCATCTGCCCCTTGCCCTTGTCCTGCCGTCCGTCTGTCCTGCTGGCCGGGCCCGGGGCGGCTGCGCCGGGCTCGGGGCGGGCCGCTCCGCTCCCCTCGGTCAGGACGGTCCTCTTGAGCGGGGCGGGGGTGCAGGAGCCGCCGGCCTCGTGGCAGTGCGGCCCGGCCGGGAGCTTGTCCCTGGCGTGCTTGCGGGAGCGGTACGAGGGCCGGCACCGCACCTCGGCCATGAGGTCGCACTTGATGAAGTAGAAAACCTCCTTGACGGGGCAGCGCTTCTCGGGGTCGAGGGCCAGCAGGCGCTGGAACATGCGCAGGGCGCTGTCCGTGAAGCGGCGCCACTGCGAGGGCAGCCCCGCCAGCCGCCCCTTCTGCCACCGCACGAACTCCTCGAAGAAGGCGTCGGACGCCACGGCCGCCTCCCAGGGGAAGTTGCCGGTGAGCACGCAGAAGATGAGCACCCCGAAGGCCCAGACGTCGATGCTGGTGTCCACGGCGAAGCCCTCGGCGCGGCCGGCCTGGCACACCTCGGGCGCCGTGTAGGGGATGGTGCCGCTGATGCGCTTGACCCGGCAGCCCACCTTGCGCGTCATGCCGAAATCCGCCAGCTTGACGCGGCGGCAGTCGCGGTCGAAGAGCAGCACGTTCTCCGGTTTGATGTCCCGGTGCACCAGGCTCTTGCTGTGCATGTAGTCGAGGGCCAGGCCCAGCTGCTGCACGCAGCGCTTCACCAGCTCCTCGGGGAGCCCCACCTGCGGGGGGACACGGCGTCAGCCACCCCCAGCCAGCCCCGGGGGCACCCACACCTCCATGGGCTCATGGTCCTGGGTGCTTTTATCTGGGTGCTCTGGGGCAGGGCATGGTGGTGGGTCATGGGCCACCCAAGAGATGGGTGGTGGGTCTCAGGCTCCCCCATAGGGCGGTTTGGGTTGGAAGGGACCTTAAAGATCGTCCAGTTCCACCTCCTGCCCTAGGAAGGAACACTTTCCACTATCCAAGGCTGCTCCAGCCCTCATCCAACCTGGCCCTGGACACTTCCAGGGATGGGGCAGCCACAGCTTCCCCAGGAGAAGGGTGATGGGTCTCAGGCCATCCTAGGGATGGGTGATGGATCTTAGGCCACTCAGAGGATGGGTGATGGGCCCCACATTTATTTGTAGGTGCTTGTGGTCAAGCCCAGCCCAGATGGGGGTGCCCAGTCCCTGCAGCCCCTCCCACACGGGCCCAAAGCCCAGGGCCAGCTTTGCTCGGCCCCCCCTGAGCCCCCACATCCCACAGAGGCTCCCTGGGAGGTGCTGGGTCCCACCTGAGGCGGGATGATGTCGAAGAGGTCCCCGCCAGGGGCGTACTCCTGAGCAAACACGTAGCAGTCCTCGGTCTCGAAGACCACGTCGAAGACCTTGATGATGAAGGGGCTGGAGGAGAGCGTGTTGGTGATGCTGAATTCCCGCAGGAAGTTCTTCAGCTTCGTCTTGCTCTTGTTGACGAACTTCAGGGCCATCTTGGTGCCTGTGGAGGGCAGGGGACAGGAGTGAGCCCTCGGCTGGGACAGACCCAGCGCCGCGCTCCCAGCCCACACTCCGTTCCCCTCACCTGTGCTTTTGTGGGACACCAGGTCCACCTTGCCGTAGGTGCCCTTGCCGAGCTCGCGGATGAGGTCGTAGTGCTTGGTGATGTCGGTGCCCGAGAGGGTGCGGATGGCCAGGGACTGCATGTCCTCGGTGATCAGGGGCACCCCGCAGCAGCCCAGCTTGCGCGACGGCTCCTGCTCAATCGAGCCCGCGCTCATGGTTGCGCTGCAAGGCACGGGGGGCACTGCTTCCGTGGGGCTGCAGGGCCGTGGAGTCCCATCCCATCCCATCCCATCCCCATCCCACCCCATCCCATCCCCATCCCATCCCACCCCATCCCATCCCCATCCCATCCCATCCCATCCCCATCCCACCCCTTCTCATCCCATCCTGTCCCACCCCGTCCCATCCCGTCCCACCCTTCCCACCCCATCCCATCCCATCCCACCCCATCCCACCCCATCCCATCCCGTCCCTTCCCCAGGGCTCCAGCCATGGCAAAGGGGGATTGGACTGAGCAGCCCCCACTGGGTGCCACCCCTCTGTCCCCGAGGGCCACCAACCCAATGGCTCTGGAGGGGATGCTCCAGCCTCCACGGGGGCTGCAGCCGTGTGGGTGTTTGGGGGCAAAGGGAGGGGTCCAGGCATGGCAGAGACAGGGACAAGGACACACATGGGTACAAACAGGGACACACACATGGACATGTTTTCTCAGGCGTGGTGTGCTCCCAGCCATGCTGCAGGACAGGAGCTGAGGCCCTTTGGGGGTCCCCTCTCCTGCTGTGTCCCCAGTGAGCCAGCCCTGTGTGCTCCATACTGAGCCCCTCTGGAGCTGAGCCTCACCCCAGCCAGGGGAGCTCCAGAGAGGAACCAGGGCCATGCCCTGGCACCAAGGGGACACAATGGCTCTGCAGCAAATCCCTCCCTCACATCTCTCCAACCATCCACCAGCACCAGCTCCTGGCCTTCACCTGCCAGGGTGCCAGACTCTGGTGTGGAGAATCCCAGAGTCCCAGACAGCTTTGGGGTTTGATGGGACCTTAAAGCCAGTCTTGTTCCATGGGCAGGGACACCTGCCCCTATCCCAGGTCACTCCAAACTCCATCCAGCCTGGCCTTGGGCACTGCCAGGGATCCAGGGGCAGCCACAGCTGCTCTGGGCACCCTGTGCCAGGGCCTGCCCACCCTCACAGGGAACAATTCCTAATTCCCAATATCCCATCCATCCCTGCCCTCTGGCAGTGGGAGCCATTCCCTGTGTCCTCTCATTCCAGGCCTTTGTCCCAAGTTCCTCTGCAGCTCTCCTGAAGCCTCTTGAGGCACTGAAATGGGCTTTAAAGTCTTCCCAGAATCTTCTCTTTTTCAGGCTGAACAATCCAAATTCTCTCAGCTTTTCCTCATAGCGGAGGTGTTCCATCCCAATAATCATAACTGTAGCTCCTCTGGACTTGCTCCAACATATCCATGCCTTTCCTGTGCTGGGGATCCACAGCTGGATGCGCATTCCTGGTGGGATCTCACCAAAGCCGAGCAGAGGCCGGCCCAGCCAGCAGCACCAACATTCCTCACTCCCAACAAAGCAGAGATGTTTTTTTCCTCACTCTGACCATTCCCACATGAAGATCCAAGCTCAGAGTCACCCACCAGAGCAGTGAAAGTGCCCCAGCATCTCCTCTGATGTTCTCGGGGCACTCCATCACTGCAGAAGCACAAACCCTGGGCAGGCAGGGACGTGGGGAGGGCACTTGGTGGCTGCAGGAGGGTGAGGATGGGCAGAGAGAGCCCAGGTGGTGCCCACGGGCTCAGCCCCATGCAGGGGCTGTGGCAGCCACCCCAAATGGTGCCAGACACCCCACAAAGCACCTGCAGCATCCCACAGCTGGGCTCACACACAAGGATCCTCCTAGCCCTTCCCAATAAGGCTGAGTCGGATCTCCAACTTCTCCCTCCTTCCTTCCTTCCTTCCCCGCACTGTGCTGCCTGTTATCCCAAACCAAAGCTCAGCTTCTTCACTTATTATAGTTATATTTTTTTCCCTGGGAAGTTGGGGAAAAAATAGAAAAGGAACTTCAACATCATGATGTTCCAAAAATGTAACAGTTTGACTCATAAGATCTCCGAAGCAGCTCATCTCCATAGTGTTTCATTGGCCCCCTGGCAGAGGAGCACCATCTCAGCGTCTGGGTGCTGGAGGTGGAGGTGGATCAGCAGCAGCTCGCTGGAGGCAGGACTGAGAACAGCCCCCAGCATCCTGCACGAAGAATTCCGGCTACGCTTGCATTTACGGCTGCGCTCATCAATGTCCCTTAATTAACCGCCATTGAAATGCAATTATTCAAGTCGGGAAGGTTGGGTTTGGGGAAAAACCCTGCTGGTTGGATGGCAGAGAGGAGAGGGAGGGCTGGCAGCTCGTGGAAGTGCTCTCCAAGTCAAGGGCTGTTTGTTTTTCCCCTTGGCTCAGCCTGTTGGCGTTTCCAGGTGTCTCCTTCCCAGGCAGGAACCGAGGGGCACTCACGGGCACCGGGGATCCCGCCCGGTCCGGAGCCGTGCTGCGAACGGGCTGGCACGGCTGGCACCGGGATGTGCTGCCCGGGATGGGCACGGGCCAGGATCCTGCTCCGAACAGCAACCGCGCCTGGCCGGGGGTAATGGGGGCACCACGGGGCCAGCACCGACCCCAGGAGGAGCCAAACGGCGACGGTGGCCAAAACACCGACACGCTGAGCCCACGGTGACCAAAACACCGACATGCCGAGGCCACGGAAAGCACAAACACAGAAATTGTCATTAAAAATGGAAAGCTTTTGGAAGCATGTTGGGTTTGATGCGAGCAGCGAAGCGGGGCGGCAGCGGGAGGCAGCGAGGGCTCGGTTCCAGCGCCGTGCGCTCCCAGGGACTGCGGGAACAGCGGGGCACACAGGGGTGGCAGTGCCAGTGTGGCAGGAGATGCCACCAGCTTGGCCTGGCCGGGTTGAGGTCCCACATCCCTCTGCAGGCAGGCCAATACCACCAAGGAGCACCTGTGTGGCCCCAGGCCGGATCGGGTCACTCCAGAGCCACAGCAGGGCCTTTCCCGGCACCCAGCTCCTCTCCCGCCCCAAACCCTGGAAGGGAGGCAGCACCACGACCCAAGGAGGACAAACACACCTTCTCCAGCTCAGTTCCAGGTGCTCCTGAAGGAGCTTTCCCAAGCAGGGAGGAGGGATGAGCATCCCGGCCGAGCCCCACGGCGCAGGGTCCCGCAGTGACAGAGGCAGCGCAGCCGCTACCGCGTGGCCCCGGGACCTGCCGCGCACCACAGGCGGTTCCTGCCGTCATCTCCGCATCCTGAGCCATTTCTCCTACTATTCAGACTAAAATTGTTCTGTGTTTAAGCTTCAGAACCGTTTATCTCATTGAGTGAGGAGGATAATCCACCCACCTCTTCCTTGCTCCCTGGCAGGTATTTATAGGCAGCCACTCGTCTCCCGTCGGCAGCTGCCGCTCCTCTTCCCCGAGCTCCCGGCTCCATCCCCGGCCCCGAGGAGCACATCCCGGTAGGACATCATCCCCATTATCCCATAGCCACAGCCCAGCATCCTGCCGGGAGCCCACAGTTCTGCCCAGCGCTGTTCCCTGCCGGGGATGCTCTGCCCTGCTCTGGATCCCGCTCCAGCCCTGGGCACAGCGGCTCTGCCGATAACTAATTGCAAACTCATTAGGAGCTCATTGAGAGGAGCAGAGGCCGCCCGGGAGAGCTGCCCCAGGCTCCCGCAGAGAAGGCGGCTGGAGCAGCGGCTGCTTGGAAATTAAGAGGGAAAGGGGGAAAAAAAATCCCTCTGGCCACATCAGAGACTGACAGAAAAACAACCCAGTTATTGAGGGAGGCTACAGGAAAAGGGTTTGGGCTGAGCCTGATGCACGGTTGAGCACTGGGGGCTGGGACTCGATTAAAGGAAAATCTGTGCAGGGCAGGGGCTCTGCAAAACCCGGATTCCTCTTTAAAGAGGGGAGAATTGTGAAACGCAGCAGTGGGATGGGCACAGGCCCACGCTGCTCTGTCCCTGCACTTGGCAGAGATTTATTTCCCTGTTTCCCATGTTCAAACCCTCAGTTATGAGCACATAACACCAACTCCCATCCAAGCCCAGCAGGCTGGAGGCCAGAGCATCCCTCAGGAGGGATCTCCCTCTCTCCACACCCAACCAGCTTCCAAATCTGCCCTGTTTCCCCTGAACAACACACTGAACCAGCAAACTCATGCCCTGGGCCCTGCCAAAGCCACCCCCTCTCCCAGTTTTCCAGGTGCCAGCACACCCTGGTGTCACTGGAATGGGGGACCAGGGGTGCTTTGGCCGTGCCCCGCACTGAGCTGTTGCCTCCCAGTGCCCCACTGCATTTCCAGCCCCTGCGCCTCCATTCCTGCCTGACCCCGTTCCAGGGACATCCTGTCCTCTCCTCCGTGCCCCTGGGACCTGCACAGCAGATTGGAGCTGTGCATCCCGGGGCTGTGGCACACAAAGGCACCTTGGCCTAACGGGGACAGCGTGGCTCTGGGGGCAGAACAGGAATCCCACCGGGGCCCGGAGCCACCAGCACCACCATGGCCAGGCAGCCTCCAGCCACCACCTCCCACCTCACCCAGAGCAGCCAAACAGGCACAGGGAAAGGATTCCTGCATCCCAGAGCCATCCAAAACCTCTCAGGGCAAGCCGAGTGTGTCCAGGAGGTCACACATGGCACGGGGACATTGGCTGCTGGCAGTGGTTTGGGGACAGCCCCTCTGCCACCATCCTGTAGCCCAGGGGGAGCAGAGGTCATGGGTGGGGCAGGTCCCCATGTGCAGCTGGCTCCAGAGCAGCGGGAAAGGCTGGAGCACCACGGACACACCAGAACCAGCACCAAAGCTCCAGCGAGGCACCCGCAGGGCTGGCACTGCCCAGTGCCCCCGTGCAGGGCTGAGCTGGCACTGCCCAGTGCAGGGCTGAGCTGGCACTGCCCAGTGCCCCCGTGCAGGGCAGGGCTGGCACGGCCCAGTGCCCCCGTGCAGGGCTGGACTGGCACTGCCCAGTGCCCCCGTGCAGGGCAGGGCTGGCACGGCCCAGTGCCCCCGTGCAGGGCAGGGCTGGCACTGCCCAATGCCCCCATGCAGAGCTGGACTGGCACTGCCCAGTGCCCTCAGTGCAGGGCTGGACTGGCACTGCCCAGTGCCCCCGTGCAGAGCTGGACTGGCACTGCCCAGTGCCC